AGGAACTAAGCTCAGGCATATAAAACTTAGTAGACATTTAGCTTCTCATCACTGCCAGCCTAAATAGTACAGTTAGACACATCATCCACAGGTCATCGTGGATACATAAGGTTACGGATCCTTCTGTAAAGCTAAAGAAACATTCCCCATAGCCCAAAGGTAAGGCTTCAGCCTTTTCAAATTCTCTTAAGATCCCATATAACACAGTAGTGCCATGGCTCATCTCTGTATACTCAAGAGTGTCCAACACACAGCAGTATATTCTAAAAAATACAGCTCCCACCCTAACCTCAAAACAAAGACATTGTTTTTATAGCTTAACACAAGCTTTCTATGAAGTCAACTATGTTCTATGGGGCTGTTACTGACACAAACCATATTAACAGAAAATCTTTTTTTATCTTAAAATATAATACATAGGGAGATCTGTAACTTTGCACTTCATAAGCATACTACCCCAGTGTAATAAATGAGAAACATATTCAAAACACAAGTAAAATTAGATTTGGTAGGGCCTTTATTCAACTAGAGTCTTGAAGAGATCGTTCTCAGAGCTGAATTTCCTAATATAACAAATTCACACAAATGTCACTACAGATATAATGAATGTTTTTTCATCCTGTGTCACTCAGCCTCCCCTGCCTGCAACCCCTCCCCCTTCCAGACTTTTCAAAATGTATTTCATACACAGAGTCAGTGTTCTGGTTGTTTATTTAATTAACATGACAGCCCGGCATACACAGCATTTCTTTCAGTTCTACAGTTTTAACTTTTTACATTTCAGACTCAATACAGCAAGAGTAAAATGACTGTTTTCACTCCTTCCAAGCTCTGTAAATTTATATAGATTCACTGACTATTTCTGTCAGTTAAAGCCGTTTTTCAGTATGCTTTAAATATCTGTATTCGCAAAGTAAAAATCGCAATTTTTAAAATCACAAAAAAACAAAACCTTCTTTTCCCTCACCCTTCCCAAGGGATAAGAAAATCCTGTTTTCCTTTTCCAATATTTTCAGAAGTTGACATTAATTAATTTTAATTCTGTCACCAAGTCATAAATAATCAATATTGTTCTTTGTACTACCACAAGTTAAGTAATACTACTGAAACGTGACAGAACATGCAGTTTAACTATGAAGTTCATCATTGTTTTAGAAATTTATTCACTTTGGGAAAAATATATATATTAAAATGATGTGGGAATTTAAAAGGTAGTCTACATGTGTAGAAAAAATATTTCTGTATTTTATCTTTTAAAATCAAGTTATACTTATTAATAACGAAGTCCACTTATGCCTACCTTCCGATTCCTTCCACAGAATTCAACCCATTTCTTCTATTTTTCATTGTTTGCCTTTTTGTTTCCTTCTCACATCAGCGATGAAAACTTGATTCTTCTTCTGATAACCAACTCAAAATCAATTTATTTTCCAACAACTATACATTCATATATATGTTAAAAATGTTTGAGATCTTATGGAAATAGTCACAGGAAATAATTTTTGGGTTTTAATACAGAGCATACATTTGTATACTTTTTGACTCAAATTGTACCCATCACAAAAGAATTACATCATTACATGATTTAAATGCATTAATGGAAAAAATTATATGCCTTAGGGTTAGACAACAGGTAAAATACTAAATGCTTCTTAAGATGTAACTAAAATAAAACGCCACATGTTTTGAAATCTTCCAAAAATGAATGCATAAGATAGATAAGTAATTAATCAATTATGTTCTTTTATATAGAAAAAGACTAGACACCCCTCAGATACAGTGTCCAAATGTTAGAAATCACATAACTGAAATTTTATGTGAGTGACACATTTATTAATGATGCATGCTATCTAATAATTTATGAAAAGTCTACACCCCTTTGTGTATCCCAGTATTTGCAGAAGTACAGTGGCAACCTGAGAGAAATATAACTGCTCTCAGATGTGAAAATCCACTTAGGAAAAGTATATAAATCTTAGTGGACATTTACCTTCTTACCACTGCCAGTCTAAATAGCACAGTTAGACACACTCATCCACAAAATCAGACTTCAGGGTACCGGGCCAGCAAGACTAAAGGAGATGCTATAAACTTTGTTCTTTACTCAGAGTAAAACGTTTTCAATTGCAGTCATAGACACATCCAGTGCTTGATTAATTTTTGTGATCAAAGCCTAGACCTGTTTTCTCCTTTCCTTGCTAGAGATCATCTTTATCATCAGTGCTGCAAAACCCAGTTCTACATATTATAACGCAGACATAGACTTAATTTCTGTAGATGTAAGTTTCTGGAAGGAAGTAGGTGAAAGAAAATACATCAGTCAGTTGGTTTGTCTTACGAGAATTTTTTCATATATTCTCTGTGCCCATTTAGAACTAAGAGCCATAAGCAAGTAGCCACTGTAAGCCATATGGAGAAGAAAATGTTGAAACTCTCTCACCTTTCAATTTCACAATGAGTAACATCCAAAAAAATTCTCAGGAAGTCTCTGTGCTTTATACTCATAGAGTACAGTTTAAAATTAACTTGTTGCCTACAAGCATTGCCTTGAATTGAGAGCAGACAGCCTTTCAGAAAAAAACCACTCTGGTACATTCAGGGGAGTGCTGTACATTCATTTTACAATTATTTTGATTCTTCATAAAGTATGCAAATGACAGTGGTACACTTTGCACCCTTAATCAGAAGTCTGTTTCCTTATGATAAAACAGATAAGCCATCTCCCATATAACTCCTGAACTTTTCACACAGTTCGGCTATCGTATGAGACATTGCCCTGTCTTGTAAGGTACTATCCCATGTTAGTTCCCACCCACTCTCTACAATTAAGCTCAGCAAAACTTTAATGGGTCATATATAAAAACCAATCTTCAGTAGCTCATGCGCACATGTGCGCACACATATACACACACAGGTCTTCCTTAAAACTTCAAGGATTTAAATTTCTGCTAAATATAATCTTGTTTTTCCATCTACCATAAGACATAGTCTCTTGTTTTAGAATATTATTCATAAACACACACTTTAAAAAAGGCAAATCCAAGAAAATGATTGAAATAAATTACACATATGAATTCTTCTAGCCGCACTAATCGGCAAAACACTTTTACAAGGCCATGCTCACAGTTATTTTCTTATAAATTTGCAGATTATTCTATTTGTTCATATCCTAAATTAAACCAGTGAAAACCAATAAAAATCTGCAGATTATTTAACACTGCTGGTTAATTCACCTAAGTACTGTCTTATCTTAAATTCACACTTGACTCTCTCAAATGTTAAATTTCAGAATGTAATTTCTGGAGCTAACTGATACTAATTTAGAATCAATTTATTTACGATTAAATTCAGATTTTTCTTAGAAATTAGGGTTCAGTGTTTGCCAGGACCACATCACATTTCACTGTAAATTCAACAATTGTTCTAAACATATTTAAACCAATAATATTTTTATTTAAAAGACATTGTCTCCCATAATCCTGGGAAGAAATTACACTGTCACTCTATCTTAACTAGCCCGCCCTGAAGTAAATAACTTTATTCTAATGATCTCTAACTTTCTACCACAACCAAGTATCAGTCAGTGGCCTGCTTTTTTCTTTACTCTGAGAGCAAGCTTAAGCTCAAGAAATTTGTTTTATCTAAACAAGAAGCTAAATAAGTACATTTCTTTTAAAATAAACACAGATTAGGATGCTGCCCTCCACACTGCTAAATAATGTCAAACAACCACAGATCTATGTATCCAGCTCCATTTAAGAAACAAACTAGCCACCCACACCATATGGTGACTGCTATTTCTTGGAAATACCTAAAAGACTCCACAAAATATCCTAAAAAGAAAAGGGTTTATATACCTTAAACTATTCGTTCACACCTTAAATTTGTCCTAATGATGCCACAGAGAGGTATGAATTTAAATGGGGAAAGTGTAAATTTCCATTTGCTGAACATAACAGGCTTCTGGCCTCCCTTCATCAAGTGTCAAATCTTCAAGGAGAGAAGTGAATAAGTGTGCTTTTTTACTATGATTTGTCTCTGAAATTGGAATTTGTTCTTTTATGCCATTTGTAGCAACTATTCCATGGTCATAAAACACTCAATGATAAGGCGATTCATCATCAAAACTATCTAAACTTTTTATAGTTTCACTCATAATCCCAGATTCCTCCACCTCCTCCCTTCTGAAAGATATCACTTAGAAATATTCTCCTGAATGTTGCGTGTGAAACCTGAGTAAGTCCATTTGAATTTTTAACATCCACTTAATTCTGTAAATACTCAAGAGAAATGTTATTTTTTTAGTGGACAATAAGCACAGTTTACTTTTTGAGCCATTCTGAAGCTCAGACACAGTTAGCCCCAAATTTGAAGTTTATGTGCAGAATACAAAACCTTGGCATGTAATAGTGCATGTCGCTCAATTATACTTACAAAACCAAGACACCATCAGTACTTCACATCCCCAAGAAAAACTTACTGTAAAACTAGAAATGTGTATCAATGCCTCACCTCCAAGCATGCTCTGCTTCAGTGCAGACTCTGTTTACTGGTTGTCATAAATGTTTGCTTGCTACTTTATATAAAAGAAATTTTATTTAAAGAGAGAAAGAAAGAAAGAAAGGAGGGAACCTGTACTGGAAAAAAAAAAAAATGCCCGTTGCTTAAAAGCTAAGCCTAATTCTAGCATTTCTGCTAAGGTAGGAAAGCCTGAGGGTACTTTAAAGCGGGGAAGCCATACACCAGGTGCAGCAGATCTGAGAAAAGTTGGCCCAGCAGAGGAAGCCAGGGCAAATGCCTTTGAATTGTGTTCCTTCTTTGCGCGTCTGTCGTTCAGGTTACAAAATACTCTGTGAGAGACAGAGATTAAAGACGCTAGTTTCTCACAGAGTCTAAAGTTCTACCACGTTTCCTAGATGATCTTCCGGGAGTTGTCAACACTTTGCGCCGCTTCCCAAGTTTTCCCGAGTCGCCCCGACGCGGGAGCCGCCCGCGCTTACCTGCTCCCGGGGGATGCAGGGCAGGGAGGTCCTGCGGTGAGACTTGCTGCCACAGCCCGACATCTCGGCGGACACCACGGAGCTGGACCGCCGCCTCCTCTTGAACACTGGGATCTCTTCCTTGGTCCCAGCAATCCGCTGGGACCCCAAAGGCTCCCTGGGAGCCTCCACCGGAGACTGCGGCAAGATCTGCTCCACGTACCTGGCCAGGAGGATCCCCAGCACGCCGGCCAAGTACGCCAGGTAAGGTCTCCAGGCGACCTTGAACCTCTCCAAGGAAATGAGGGCCACGGTCCGGACCGCGCTAGTCAAGGCGATCATGAGGACGCCCAGCCTCAGCCTCAGCACCAGCCATGTCGCCGCGGCCAGGCAGCTGAGCACCACCCCCGCGGCGGGCAGCGACAGCAGGCGATCTTCCCCGACGCCCAGCCCAATCTGGACTAGCGCTTCCCCCCCGCAGCAGGCGGCCAGCAGCGCGACGGCCAGAGGCAGGCGCACCCCGGCGCGCCGGAGGTACAAGCCCATCCAGAAGAAGGCACCCAGGAGACTGAGGAGCAGCGCCGAGGGCTGCAGCCAGGGGCTGAGCTGCGCGCCGCCCCCGGGCGCGCCTCCCCGAACGCCGGGGAAGACGCCCCCTTCTGCTCCCGGGACCGCTTCCTCCTCCTCCTCCTCCTCCTCCACCTCCTTCTCCTCCTCCTGCGCCGCCGCCGCCTCCCGACTCGGCCCCAGCTCTCGGCCGCTCTCCTCGCGGACCAGCCGCACCAGCACCGCCAGCAGAAAGGACAGCGAGCCCGCGCACAGCGCCGAGGAAAGTTTCCACGAGCGCCGGACCGGCTGCAGCAGCAGGGCTCCCCGCGGCCAAGTGGGGTGCACAGGACTCACCCTGCCTAGGTCCAGCTCGTCCCGGTCTCGGGCGGCCTCGGCCATGGTGCGACCTCCACGCCGGGTCCCCCCTGGGGGGCGCCCGGAGCCACGCGCGCTCGCTCGCTTTTCCTAGTCCACCCGCGCCGAATCCCTTCTTCACCCTGGGCCCACCGTCCACTTAAAAGTTGCAGCTTTCTAGTAACTTCGGGAGCAATGCTACGTGCTCCAAAGAGACTTCGAGTGAAAAGCTGGCATAACCAGGCTTGGACTCCACTCTCTTGGAATAGCTTTGAGGATCCTCCGCTGCACCTCCGCCCCCAACCCCGACTTCTATCCTCGGGGTCTCTTCCTACATCAGAATTTTAAACGCTGCCCCTGCACGCGCGCCCGGGGGCCATGGACACTGCCGGAGCTGGGGGCGCGGGGCGAGTTTGGGGCCATTGCGCGCGCCAGGCCCGCGGCAGATGGAGGCTCCCTTCTCTTCCTGCAGCTCTTTCTCTATCACTCTTTCTTTCTCCGCGGCAGATCCTCCCCGGAACAGCCCCAGGACGCGAATCGCCATTCCCTGGGGCAGCAAGGAAAGCCTCCCCTGCGTCTGTCGGTCCGGTTCATAGCACAAGGTGGTCAAGATGGAAAGGGGCTGAGAAATAAGAAGTTCCTGTGTCCCGTCGAAGAGGAGCGGCTGCAGCAGGAGAACGGAGGGAGGGAGAGCGAGGGAGCTTGGAAGGAAGGGCGAAAGGAAAGGGAGGGTGAGAAGTGAAAATGAGATTTGCACACTCGCGCGCACGCACACACACACCCTTCTTTTGGGTGTAATATTGGTGGTCAGTTGCAGTTTGCAAAAGGGAAAGGAGTAAAGACAACTGCTTAAAACTGTATAAACCAGGCAACTAGAATGGTCGACAATTCCGCTTTCTTTAAGGCAACTCCCTAGTAAAGCTCTCGGAGCCGAGCTCCCGCCCCTCCCCCGGAGGAGGCGCTGCTCAAAGCTCTGGGGCTTGTTTCCGCTGAGCCCGGCCCACTCCGTCTACGCACTAGCAGCCAAAGGGCTGCGGCGGCGGATCCACCACGCGGCTGGCTCACCGCAGTCCGAAGCGCTGGGGGCTGAGGCTGGCGCTGAGCCTTAGCTTTCCAGGACGCTGCGGGGGAGGGCCGGCACTGGGCCGCCTGGTGAGGGATGAGAGCCCACAGAAGTACTTGCTACTGTCGTTGAAAATGACACCCACATCTAGAGTCTGGGTGATTTAAAGATGCTTCGAAGTTCTCCAGTGAAGTCCAAACAGCAAAGCCCTTTTCAGATAGCTTTCTAAGACCTTGGGTGCTCAGGCTAAAGATCTATTTGCAACAGAGAACCCAAGTCTGCCCCTTCGGATCAAAAGAAAAAAAAAAATCTCAGAGTTACCTGTATCACAGTAGTATTAAAGAGAAGCAAGAGGGCGGCTTAGATTTTTTTTTTTTTTAAGGTCTAACTTTAAAATCTAGAATATGAGTATTAGTCAACGGTTGTTGACTGTGAATGGTAAAAAATCACATTATTAGGGGGCCATAGTCTCAAGATGTATATAGGTTTGGATAATAAAATACAACACCTACAATGTAGAAAGTATGTGGGAAAAAAATGATGCTGTGATAATGATTCCATGTACAGGTACTGTGGTAGGAAGTATTTGAGAAGCTGAAAACAATTACCCATTTTTGCTATTTGAAAAATCAGTGTCCGTTCAATGGATTTAAAAAATCCAATATTCCTTGAGAGCTGTTTTTTTTATAAAAGACTGGCCACCCTTGTCCCATTTTAATATGACTGAGATATCTTTTGCTCTCGATAATAATAAACCAATTTGGTCTTACTTAGCTTGACATTCCAAGATAAAGTGTGTCTGCAGCCTGGAGTATCTGGATGATTGGTTCAATATGCCATTTTTTTGTGTGTGTGCAGAGATGAAGCCATAAGAGTGCCAAAAGGAGACACTAGAAATAAAATTATGGCAGAAGGAGAAGATGGCTTAAGCTATAGATGTAGTTTCTTGGGGAAAAAAAAACCTCTAGTTGGAGGCAGATATGAATATTAATATGATGACATAAGTGGATTGGAGAAGTCGTGATGGTACAGTGTCCCTCTGTCACATGTCCAGAATGGTGCTGCCACACACAGAGTGTGAGAGTTGGGCAGCTCGTCAGTAGCAATGGGCACCATCTGTCTCATAATTAAGGGACCAGGAGCAGCAATTCCTGTGCCAGAGACAAATGAGCCCCTTAGCATACTTTCAAGGGTTTCCTTTTTAGACACATGATTCATAGGCCAGATCCTACCTAGGACACATCAGAGTGAAAACCATGATTAGAAAATCATGCTAATCTCCCCTGGTATCAAAAATGGCATATTAAATTGAAAACCTGTCAAATGCGGGGCATTTATCAAAGTGAGTGAGAAAAGCATGGGGAATGGGGAGTTTTAGAACATTTTTGTTTTCTCTGGCCTCTACCTCCACAATTATCTCAGTTGTGTACAAAAGATGACTCTCCTTGAAAAACAGAGAAATTACCCCCACTTTGGTTAAGCCTGGCCCTGTCTCCATGTATTGATAATGTACAAAGCTGGCCAAGCCATTTCCTTTTCCCTTCAACTGCCTCTAATCTGAGGTACTGACTTCTAATCTTTGAAGCTAGGCCACAGTTGCTATTTCCCTGCCCCGTGCATCAAAGCATGGTGGGATATAGAACCACTGCTCCAGGGTTGTCAGCTGCGTTCCAGCCTGGAGACAGGAGGCTATGACTTCCCAGAGCAGGAAAGTTTGCACATTAGAGCTAATGCACCACCCTCTATACATTAAATGCTACCTCAATTGTGTTATGCCGGTTGGTCTTTCTGCATATCCTTCTCTCTACATTTGCAGAGGTGCTTTCAGGTCCCCTATAGCCCAGCTCACAGGCATGTGCCATTGTCACACTCTCACAGTCATGCACCCTCAAGCCACTCCCTTCACAAATTAATAAAATCTGATTAGTCCCTGGATCCAGCCTTTGTTCACCTGGGCCAGACTCTGGACCCACTGGTGATAGGATTATTTCCAAAAGATGAGAAGTATAAAACAAGAGAGGCCTTTATTCTGAGAACACAGAGAGAGAGAGAACCAGCACCCCAGACCGCCTGGAGTCCGGCTCTCTCTCTGGCGGACAGGTGGCATGGGGGTATGTAAGTAGCCTCGGTTTGGGGTGGAACCTTAAGGGGGCATTAGGGATGCACGGGTTGCTCATTGGTCCTAGGTTTGGCGCCATAGGTAAGTTCCCAGGGGCGGGGAAGATGACATCACAGGTAAATTCCTAGGGGTGGGGGAGATAGGAGCTTCCTGGTTCCGGTTGAGGCTTTTCTGGCTACAGAGTCCTGTCTGGGCCAAAACCCTTTCAACTGGCTTCCTATAATCATAAATATGTGTTAGAGGTTTTATTTACTCCATGGGCTGCACTGGAAGTGCTAGATTGGGATTAACTCACTAGAATTCCAATAACATTTTTATGGGATTGCAAACTTAAACTTCCTGCACCAGGAAAGGGATCTCTGTATTTATCACCATCTAGAAACCAAAGACAAAAAAAAAAAAAACTCAATTAGATAAAAAAATATATAGGATACTAACTGAAAGAAGTGACAATGAACCTTTAGTAGACGGTATCTTAAATAAGCCACAAAACATAAATTGAGCAACCCAATATAGCTCTTGCCCATTTGGAGCAGGTAATGATAAATCATAATTCAAAAAAGTGATGATACAAGGCAGGTGTGGTGGTGTACACCAACAATCCCAACAATTAGGTGCTGAGACAGGAAAATCACAAGAGCAAGACCAAGCCCGACTTGTGCAATTTAGCAATTTAGTGAGACCCTGACTCAAAATAAAGGAATGCACATATAACTCAGTGTGAAGGCGCTGGGTGCAATCTCAGTGTTGCCAAAAAAAAAAGGGACAACAGAGCCCAAAATAAGGAAATTATACACACAGAAAAAGTAGTGAGCATAGACAACAGAAAGAAAAACTGAACTTTGACTTGATTAAGCTTTTCACTTAGTCAAATCTAGTTGGTGTGATTTTACTGTATTAGTTTTTCAGAAGCTCTTTGACCCAGTTGCCAATCATTTGTACTTTGGCAAATATAATTATGCTCAAGGGGATTACTTTGTAAAATTTTTTAAAAGTTTACATTCCTTAATATGGTTTCACTCATTGTCCACTGCTCACCTGACCCCTGTGCACTTATAAACAAAGGATAGCCAAAGTAGAATGTATCTAAATCAAAATTCTTCCCTCCAGTGCTTACCACCCACACCCCCAAACTATTTCTCCTCAGTCTTACCCCAGTCAAGGACATAAATTACCAGCTACCTAACTGCTCATGTCTCAAAAGAGGCCATTGCCCTTGATTCTTTTCGGTTTATTTTGCTTTACTTCCAGTCTATTAACAAATTCATTTGAGTCTATCTCTAAAATATATCCTGAACACATTTACATATCATCACTCCTCTTATAGAATAACTAACCAAAGACTTATCACCATCCCTGGGCAGAAGAACTGCAATAACTAATGGGTCTTGCCTTCCTTATGATTCATTTTCTATTCTTTTTTAATGATAACTTTCCCTCCCCTGCTTCAGACAACCCAAAGTCTTCCCACTGTACTTGCAGAATCCAAAGTCATTATGACCACCCTTCAAGATCTCTCCAAGCCTCTCTCTGTGTTCTCCCTATTTCAAATCTACTTCACGATGAAAGCCCTATCCATTAGCACTCTCTTC